GTGAAGCCCAATTTTTTCAGTAAGATCACGAGCAAAACTGTGGGAGTGCAGCAGGTTGTGGGATATTATTAGGTCCCTGTGAAGTCGACGAACTTGAAGAGTACCAATATTTAGATTGTTTTCCATTTCAGAATAGTTGATGTTTTCAGCTGTATGATGCTCTTTGAAGGAGATGTACCTCAAAAGCTTATGCTGTACTCTTTCAATAGCCTGGATATGGACATCGTAATGAGGAGACCAAACACAAGAACAGTAATTGAGGTGTGGGCGCACAAGAGAGCAATACAATGTTTTAATTGAAGGGGTGTGGAGAAAGTCCTTAGTACAGCGCTTGATGAAACCCAGAATTTGAAGAGATTTGGAGACAGCCAATGATATTTGAGGTATATAAGACAACTGACTATCCAAAATAACTCCCAAATCTCTTATCTGAGAAACAGCATTCAGCGGACAACCATTCACAGAGTATACTCGCTGGGTGGGGTTCCTGCCACGACTGAAAATCATTAGATGGCACTTTTTAACATTTAATTCCATTCCATTTTGTGTACACCAACCAGACAGACGATCCAGGTCAGATTGTATTTTTAAACAATTTTCAGTTTTGTCGACTCTCATGTAAAATTTTAAATCATCCGCAAGCATTAAAAAATGGGTGTTTAAAAAACAGGAGGAAATATCATTAACGTACACATTGAAAAGCAGAGGGCCAAGATACGAACCCTGAGGCACACCTGATGGGACTTGGATTTCACATGACTTGTAGCTCTGAATACGTACTACTTGCGTTCTACCAGAGAGATATTTGCCCTTAACCCGTAACTGGTGAGGTCATTTTTTTGTTACATAACCAGTGAGGTGGGGTTTGCTAAACCCCAAATAAAAAAGGCTATTCTGCTAATTCAAAATAGAAAAACGTGTATGTTATTCGCTTTTGGGTAACATTTGTCCTTTTGGAATGCGTAGGTTCATACTTTAAACAAAAAAAATATATAAAATATTTTAGAAATATTTCAATTTTACTGTGAGACTGTAAAAAACACTCATCAAAACTTATTTCCAATTACTAGAAGTAATCAAACTGAAAATGTAGAATAAAAAATACAAAATGGCGGAGAAGTGTCCAAAAATCTTTGAAAAATATTCAAGGAACAAAGTTTTAGCAAAATTGTATTTCAAGTAAACTTTTTGGAGAGCAATTAACCCAAACGACTCAAAGTGATAGTACGAGATACGAAGCCTATTTCATCAAATCATTTTACATCGTCTTGCATTGTTATCATCAGTTAGATAACATGGTACTGAAACGCACTTGTGCAGGGAAATAGATGGTTTTGGGGGATTTCGCTGAAAAAAGTTTCAGAAAATTTGGTCATAAACGAGAAAAATATATAATTATACACCGTCTTGTATTTATTTATTGAGTTAATTTGTACACAAACAAAATTGGATTAACACATGCAAGACGTTTTCATGGGGGTTTTGGTGTTGCAATAGAAGATGGTTAATCCAATTTTGTTTGTGTACAAATTAACTCAATAAATAAATGCAAGACGGTGTATAATTATATATTTTCCTTGTTTATGACGACATTTTCTGAAATATTTTTTTCAGCGAAATCCCCCACTCTCATCTATTTCCCTACACAAGTGCGTTTCAGCATCATGTTATCTAACTGATGATAACAATGCTAGACGGTGTAAAATGACTTGATGAAATAAGCCTCGTATCCCGTACTATGAGGTGGGGTTACGCAAACCCCAATTTGTACAAAAATCGTAATATCGCACACCAAGTAAAATATCGCGCGTTGTTGACACCAGGTACGGTTTGTTAGGAGAGTACGCGTCGCACAACTGACAACGTAAATGTCGTCATTGGTTCAGGTATGCCCATAGGTATGACGTACACCCGTTTTCTCACGTCAGAAGACGGGTGTACGTCATACCTGAACCAATGACGACGTTTACGTTGTCAGTTGTGCGTCGCGTACTATCCTAACAAACCGTACCTTTAGGGTACTAACGCACAACGGACCGAAAGCTACACAAGCGGTAGCGGGCCTCCAACCATTAGTTAGAACGTGGTAAAGATTCTTAAAATCTGTTGGGTTTGAGAAACCCCAACTCACCAGTTACGGGTTGAATATATGTACAGGGTGAGTGATGTAATACCTCGTGTTATACGGGCATCAGTGTTTCTTTTAATAAAAATGTGAATCTCAGTGACGTCATGACGTAATTACCCTACAACCTCTAAATTCCTCACAAATTCCGCATAAATTCGTCCAAATTTCCCAAATTCTCATAATTTCCTCCAATTTCCGATAAATTCCTTCAAATTCCTCTAAATTCCCAACATTTTTGGCTAAGAATTCCTAGGTGGTTTGCCTCTTGGTTTGTCCTTAGATATACATAAGATTTCTCATCTGAAACATAAGTAAGGTAAACATCCAGAATCCAGATAATATATCTGATTACCCATGAATAGTTAGCACCTTAATTCATTGCACCAACTTTTTCATGAGTTTTTGCCTTTTTGGAAAGGGTTCTATAGTTCACAAAGGGGTGCATAAATAATAGTTCTGCAGTAGAAATTGAAATTTTTCAACAAACAAATATAGGGGTGCTAACTTCATGCTGCACCCTCAATCGATTTTATAGCATTTGATCACATATCTTGGTCTATGCTCTATACAATCGGGCCTATGATGTATCCTCTCCTGTTATTTTAACAGTTGTGTTATAACTCAAAATCTATATCTGTCTCTATTTTTATGTGTAGAATAAACAGTGACAGATAACTTAACGTTGCTGTTAAAATAATAGAAAATGATACATCATAGGCCTGATTGTGTCCAAGATAATAGACCGTCAGATAGTGACATATTTAGGGGCATCATTTTCGCATACAAGTGAAAAGTACATCGATTTTGTGTACGTTGAAGGTACTTTTACGAGTGGCTCCTGGAAATAACATATGGAAAATTCGAGTTTACTTATGTTACCCTTAAATGTACTTTTCCATTAGCGACATTCAAAAAAATATGTTTTCGTGCTACCGTTGTAGATTTTTATCCTTCCGATGGGCTTGTGTGGAAAAATCGCCCAAAATCTCGATTTTCCCTTACAAAGTTTCGCCCTTATTTCAAACCTCCAGCCACCTGCAACACCCCCTTATTTGGTTTCACGAAGCCAGGTTTTATTAATTAATCCTTTGGTGAACGCGGCTTGCGGGAAAATATGGGCACTAGGGCGTCTTTCATTTCTGTTACGGAAAATCGAATTTTCCATACGTTATCCCCAGGAGCCATTCGTAAAAATACCTTCATCCTACTCAAAATCGATGTACTTTTCAACCCTCTTCGAGGCTTGTATGCGAAAATGGGGCACCTAAATATGTCACTAGCTGACGGTCTATAAGGAGGGCCCTTGGGAGGGCCAGTATGGGGATCTGATTATATGATGGCCCAACGACGAAACGTCGGACTACAAATTTGATCATGCTATATTGTAGAGGAGGAAAAGTGGCAATCATGAAGTGCCATTTAATTTGAAATATCTCTTCAAATAAGGTCAGGAAAAAATAAAATTGTTTTGGGCGAATTTTTGGTTTTCTTGGATATCTCCGGTATCACTCGGAATTTTTAAAATATCAGAGCGGTATTTTAATGAGCACAAAATTGCGCGACAAAATCTGAGCAACGTTGTTTGTATCTTTCATTGTTTTCAAAATCCCCATACTGGTCCTTCTTATCTTGGACACATTGGAGTTCTATAGTTCTTGATGACATATACAGTGATATTAATAAAGTCGCACATAAACTCATTATTTTGAAACTGGTAGAATTTTTGAAAAATCGCTCAGACACTTCTCAAACACGTCAATTTTGTTTTTTTGTTTGAAATTTTTCTGGAAAACACAAAAACTCAAAAACAATTTTGCCTTGTAAAGTTGAAGAGCATTCAGCTATTCTATTAAAGCCCCATTAGGCTGAATTCACTTGAAACCACATTGTGCAGCTGAAACCCAACAGCAAATCATAATTCAACCATTTCTTGCCGGTATACGTAACTTCAATTGTTAAGAGGAAGTAATTGAAAACATCTACAGCCAAATGCTTAAAGTCTAATACCAAACATGCTCAACTAGAAGTAGGTAGCTTACCAAAATTCTAACTTGAAGGGCTGTTAGGATAATAGCTAGGTAATTATTATTTTTTTAATAGCTTATTCCTCCACAATAGTCTACTGCTGAATAACGAATATAAAAAAAGATAAGGAAAGAAAGGTACAATAGCTTGTTTACATTAACCTGGTACCTTTTTTTCTTACTTCAATGATGATTCATCAATTAGGTATAATAATATTGAGATAAATCCTTCCATCTTTAAGTACTTGCTGAGATGCACAAAACGGCAATTTCAGATTGTTTCGAAAATATCGAGGAAAATGTGGTGGAAAACCGAGTGAAAAAACTTTTGAGAATGACAATATTTGTGTGGCAAAACTACTTACTTAGTGCAAAACAATTATCATTTTTTTATGTAGGTACCCACTGTATACTTATCATGCATCAGATAATAATGTACTGGTATTACTATGTAGATATATAATTTTTCAATCGATCCACACTGACAAAATATATGTCTAATTCAACGACGTCAAATGGACAATTCATAGAGGTAAAATGATTTTGATAAAAAAATTAAATGTACTTAAATCTTTTCATTATTGTATTGGAAAGTTTTCGAACCAAGGTAAATCTCTAATTATTTTTGTAACTCGCTCAGAAATTGACTTTTCTTATTGAAAGTGTCCAAATTGGGCCACTCTGTACATATGCCTAAATACAAGATTGCTACTATTTAGACTAAGAATTATTATTCTGCTTTAAAATAGCGAGTCCGTAGATAAAATTCAATGCAACTCAACAGTCCTCCTCAAATTTCCCGTTCTAAACTATAACCATATAAATATGAATTCAATTGTCAATTTCAGAGCCTCAAGATAATCGTATGGAATGGCCAGAACACGTCGAAGATGAACTCGAAAAACGCAAAGAATCAAAAATCAAACTACCTTCTTCCGTATTCGCTTCAGAAGTTGAAGAGGACGTTGGTATGCTGGGTAAAGCTGCTCCAGTATCTGGCCCTCAATTGCATCTCGATCCAGAGCTGGTTGCAGCAATGGATGATGACTTTGACTATAACGATCCAGACAACCAACTGGAAGATGATTTTATTCAATTAGCTCAAGGCGTAGCCTCAGACGATGAGTTTAATGAATATGACGAAGATAATTATGTTGATTCAGACTTTGATGATGAAGAAATGGATGATGTTGGATCCCTTAATGGGTCGGAGAGATCGTTTTCAAAGGAAGAAACAAAATCTAGATTCACTAGCTATTCAATGACAAGCTCAGTTATGAGAAGAAACGAACAATTAACACTCTTGGATGACAGATTTGAAAAAATGTACCAAGGATATGATGATAATGAAATTGGAGCTTTGGATACTGAGGAAATTGAGGGGCACGTTTTGGATTCTTCGGATTTGTTGCTTCATTATGCAGATGAATTTGAGAAAAATCAGAAAAGGGAGTATTTGGATCATGAAAAAATTAGTGAAAAAATTAAGGAACAGTTGGCAAGAGAGTCCGATGAGGACAGTGACGAAATTGATTATGTTGAAGTGGATGACAAACCTAAATGGGATTGCGAAAGTATTTTGAGTACATATTCAAATATTTACAACCATCCTAAGTTGATAAAAGAACCATTGGTAAGTGAGAAATATTTATAATAATACACTTTTGAGTGATCACATTAGAGATTGCTAGATCAAAAAAGAGCTCAAGATATTTCTTCCTGACAGTGTTTTTTTATGATAATGTTCTCAGCCGGAAAATGTTCAGGAAAAGATAATTTTTAGTAAAATATAAACAAGTTTTCATAAGTATGAAATATGAAGTGTTCTACATTTTTTATAAAAAATAGTATTGTTTACCTTTCTATCCAAAAAACTCTTTACTTAAAATTTCAAAATCGACTTACTGGAGTACCTATACCGGGTGGTCCTCCGGGAATGACATCGATTGCTTATGGGAAAACTGTGAAAGGTAAAAATTTGAAAATTTGGCAACATAGCAATGTCGATGGGGGACATCCAGGTAAAATATTTTCAAGATGGCGGCATTTCCGGTCATACCGGAAGTTGATACCAACTCGGTTATTTTAAATAGAACACCCCATATATTAATGTATTTTTGGATTCTACATAAAATTCTGAGCAGATTTCATGTAATATACCCTATACCTAAGTTCAACTGTTTTGGAAATATTGACAGTTGAAAATTGACTTTTTGCAACTTTGACAAGCTGTAAAACCTAATTGGTTAATTTTAGAGGAAAACCGATTTCACATTCCTATCTTAGATTTTGATAAACTATCATTTGACACCAACTTTGAACTTAAACGGAGATTAAATTTAACTGAAATTTTTAATCATGGATTTAATTCAAAGTTGATGTCAAATGATAGTTTATAAAAATCTAAGATAGGAATGTCAAATCGGGTTTCCTCTAAAATTAATTGTTCAGGTTTTACAGCCTGTCAAAGTTGCAAAAAGTCAATTTTCAACTGTCAATATTTCCAAAACAGTTGAACTTAGGTATAGGGTATATTACATGAAATCTGCTCAGAATTTTATGTAGAATTCAAAAATACATTTATATACGGGGTGTTCTATTTAAAATAACCGAGTTGGTATCAACTTCCGGTATGACCGGAAATGCCGCCATCTTGAAAATATTTTACCTAGATGTCCCCCATCGACATTGCTATGTTGCCAAATTTTCAAATTTTTACCTTTCACAGTTTTCCCATAAGCAATCGATGTCATTCCCGAAGGACCACCCTGTATATTCTGCCTCATCCTTCAGTATAAAACTTTTTGAAAAAAATTAAGAATTTTTTATTATAAAAGTTTTGCAAGTCAGTCCAACTACAAATTTAATTTGTACTAGGTCATGAGCGCGCTTCGCGCGCTTTTTTTCCTAAATTAAGTCTGTCAAAATGAAAACAATTATAAAGTGGAAAATATTTATTAAGTGTTGTACGAAAAACAACATAATTTTTGATTTAAATGTACATTATACATTATAATGTAATAGTGAGATAGGTTGTATAGATGTCATTTTAGTGAAGAAATTTCAAATGCGATGCAATTATTTTTATATGGTATATCGTAATGATTTTAAATCGATCACATTTCTTGAATTGAATGTGTGTGTATGTCCAGTGCATCTTATTCTATGTTATGGAACTCGTAGGTATCCGTTTTTCGCAGTGGTTTGATTGAAACAGAATAATCATTAATCATAACCGTAATAAAGGTGTTAATATAAAACCGAATTATAAACTATTTATATGCGGTGGTATAATACGAGATATCGAGTCTTAAAAACTTTTTGCATTTTCATGGAGTTCCTTTTTTTGATTAAGTCAGTTATTGAAGTCTACTCGATCAACTTCTTACTGCGAAAAACCGAAAAAAAAAAAATTATTAAAAATATTTTAAATTCAATTATTAAATTATTCAACTTACATTTTTTGTTTGTACGTGGTAGACATAAATTTCAAATGCGATGAAAGAAGTTGAGTACTGAGTAGAATAATTACTTTTGTGGTACCTCGTAATCACTTTAAATCGATCACATTTTTTGAATATACAGTCGGTGTACATATATGTCCAGTGCATCTTATTCTGTTTTATGGAACTCGTAAGTATTTAAGGTTCAAAGAGTGCTAATTCTTTTCTACACTGTTGTACAACACCTGAAAGTAATAGACAGAAATAAAATAAATACAATTAAAATATTGCAGTCCCTACCAATTTTTGTGGCTGTTCATGTGGCTGTTATTAAATAAATCTGCAACTAAGCTAGTTTCTCATATACACTTTCATCTTTATCTTTTCTTTTCTTTTTCGGTTTTCTTATAAATCTGTAAATAGGTTGTTCTCCGTTATATTCAATCATTTATGTTTATCGTGTTTAATTTGTAACTTGTGATTTTCAAATATCTTGTGAATCTCTGCTGAAATCACCTGCAAATTTTCAAAACTAAATTATTAAAAAAACAATTCTTTAAAAACATGGTTTTTGACAACACTATTGCTTCTTTGTTTCCCTAAATAAACTTTCAATGAGTCCCACGAACGAACTTTGGAAAGCGCCACATAAAGTTGTCCGTGACTAAATACATCCTTTCTGAGATCAATTCCTATCCTATCAAATGTTTGTCCTTGAGATTTATTAATCGTCATTGCAAAGGCCAATTTTATCGGAAATTGTCTCCGTTTGAATGTAAAAGGGTAGACGTTTTCGCAGTAGAGTGTTATTCGATTTATGAACACTATTTCTCCTTGTTTATCTCCAGTCAATATTTCACAGCGTAACAGATTATCCCCAAGTTCCAGAACTAATAACCTTGTACCATTGCAAAGACCTTCACTGATGCTTAAATTTCTAATGAGCATAACAATAGAATTCGTTCTCAATCGTAATTCATGGGGCGGGAAGTTCGGCGGGTTAAGCGAATTTAAATATTCTGGAAGAATAGCATCATTTAGATCACCATTATCACAGTTCTCGACACTATCTACACTGGTGTAGAGTTTTTCGGTCTTGACGTCCAACAATTCGACAACTTGTTTGTTTATTTCTTCGACGTCAACATTTCTTGCAGAAAGTATTGCAGATTTGGTCAAGTCCCTGAATCTTCCTTCTCTTAGTACTTCTCCATAGATGTTTTCAATAATATCCGAATTATCAATACATTTCTCTGGCAATTTTAGATTGTCATTGGAATCATTTAGTGTTCCATTTCCGACGTCCAATAAAAATTTGGAAAATTCAAGTTCTTCTGCTAGAGCTCGCATATTTTGTGTCAAAGAAAATTTACGGAAATAATTCCAAAGCGAACTGAATTTGATACTAAGACTGACTATTTCACTGCGTGTACCATGAACCTTTACTGGCAACAGCTGTCGAAAGTCCCCACCCAAAATCATTATTTTACCTCCAAAAGGCAACCTATTGTTCGTTAAATCGCGTAATGTTCTCTCGATAACTTCTAATGCATCCTTTGGTGCCATTGGTGCTTCGTCCCAAATGAAAACGTCGACACTTTTAAGATAGTTTGCCTCTTTCGTATTGTTTTTAATGCTCGAATTGGAGTCCGAAAATAGAGGAACTGGTAATCCGAACGTTTTATGCACTGTTCTTCCATGTGGAAGCAATGTGGCTGCGATACCGGTGAACGCCATCGTACAAACATTTTTATTTCTCGTCTTCAGCATACCATAAAGGGTAGTGTATAGATATGTTTTACCGGATCCACCAGGACCGTCAATATAGATGCAAGAGGTCTCTTCATTGTTCTCATCTGTTTGGTTGTCAGCTTTTTCTAAAATGAAATCTACAATTTCCTTTTGTTTTGCATTTAAAGAATCGTATTGATTTAGCAATGTATCAAATGCTTCTTCTTCATTCAAAATTTCCATGTCGTTACTGACATTATCCAAATCAGTTATTTGTGGCATAGTAGGAAACATTGAAATACTCCAGCCTTCTAGATTCAACATCGAATCAAGTTGAACGTAGGCCTTTTTCATATCTTGACTGCCGTTATATTTTCTTCGATAGTCTTCTGACAATGCATCTTTAAATTCTTCCCAAAGTTCTTCAGGATGTATTGGTTGACAATGTATTAAAATACGAACAAAAAGATATCGAAGTTGTCTTGGCATCATCCAAATTTCAGCTTCATTCATTGCCCTTTTCCATTCGTGGTCATCTTCAATAAGCCCTAATTCCAAACATGCAGCCATAAATGATTCCTGTCTTACTCCATTAACAGTTTTTATATCCTCAAAACTCAGTGGTCCTTTAACATGAAGTAATAAAATTCTAAGATGGAAAAGCTCAGTTTGAGTTGGACTAACAGAGTACATACGACCAATCACATTAAATTGTCTTTGACGATGGATCCATTGATATTTGCCATCTACTTTTTTAAACACATAGTATGTCGGTATTGTGCTGTAACTATACTGACGGGCTTCTGGGTTTTGAGAATTTAAGGCAAAATAGTCAATTAACATTGTTTGCCGTTCTAAAGCACTTCTGATTTCATTGTCATCGCAATCATCAGCAATAAACACATTTTGTTGGTTTGGCAAATGAACTGGCAGTCTTGTAATCGAATGACTTTTGTCTTGCAAAGGCTTTTCTAAAATTCTCCATGCAGCTTCAACTGGTCCGACATATCTTGTTTCAATAAAATTTCGGATTTCATCGTGTTCGATGGTTGTGCTGTTTGATTCAGAAATAATTATATTTGCTGCATCATGACCTTTATAAACATATTTGTACAAATACTTAACTGACTTAATACTGGAAACGACCTCTACGTTTATATGACCATTAAATAACTTTAACAGTGTGGGGTTATGTGGTACGACATACCGATTATCGCAAACGTATCCATCAGAAGACCTTTTAAATGACATACCAGGATTTCTGCGACGGTAATAAGGATACCCATTTTCATCCATTGTAGTTTCTTCTCGAAATTGTTTTGGGTAATTTTTAGAACAGGTCTTCTCTTCTGTTAAACACCAGTCACCACATGGTCCATGAACCATATTTCCCAACACAATGTTATGCAATATTGGTTCTTCCTGAAAATCTGGAATTTCTGCTGATATGTATCGATCG